GTTTCACTCTTCGTTTTCAAGATTGGAGCAAAATTAGGGTTTTCGCGATTTTTCGCCGGATGAATTTTCAGTATGGAGCAAGGATCAAATTTGGTGATTAAAAGTGACTTTTAGGTGAGAAATAATATGTGATTAGGGGCAATGATATAAGGTTAGTGAATAGGAAGAAAAAACCCTAGTACATGTGTTTTTAAGAAAAATGGTGCGAACCGACGGGTACCGTGCACTACCGATTGAACGCACCACTTGACCACCACTTTCTTACCATACAAGCTCATTAATACTTGAGCAAAATATCTTCTCATTTGCCGGCTAGTTTGACCGAAACTTAGGGTTAAAAATAGCAAGGAAAAGAAAGAGAAAAATGAAAGGTGGTGGTGGCGACACTTGTCGCCACCTAAGGGTTTCTTGACCAAGAGATGGTCTTCCTTCTTATCCCCAATTTTTGCTCCTTTTCCTTCATTATTTCTGCTGCTTGGCCGAACAAGAGAGGAGAGAAAGAGAGAGCAAGAAACAACTTCCTTCTTCTTGATTTTAGCCATCCAAGTGAGGAATTAAACTTCTAAACCGATTAAAGTGTTAGTTGTGGGCTTGAGAAGCTAGGGGAAACAAGAATTCCAAGAGGAGGTGAAATATTACTCTTGCAAGCTTCAATTGTTGAGGTATAAAGCTAAACCATGGCTTTGGTTCTTTTATTGTGGTTTAAGTTGTTGCATCATGCATGATTGTGGTTGGATTAGTAGTGAAACAAGTTGTTATGATGATTTAAAGGTGATATATGTGAGTTAGGGTTGAGGTACTTGCTGCCTATACTTGCTATATGGATGAGATATGTGGTATCTAAGCTTATATAAGTGGTTTTAGTGATGATTAGAGCAAGAAATCAAGAAAGGTTGCATTGAAAACAAAAATTCCAGATTTCTGGAAAAATTTCCCCTCTTTCTGTCCGGTTTTATTGCATCATGTTAGAGGCCGAATTAGCCTTAGGTTAAAACATAAAAGTTGTAGAGAATGGTATTTTATAGTTGTCTACAAAATTTCAACTCAATCGGAGGAATGTAACCTGTGAAAAGACCAAAATACCCTCGCTATTCTAGGTTACATTCCAGAGTTCCACGTGGACAGTTTAGTCTTTTTGGTTGTGTTTATTCACTATAATCCGTTTGGATTTAGCCATTTTCCAAAACATGAAAATTTTAGTACCCTGTTTTAGCTTTTCAACGCCACAAAGAACGTCTTAAACGAACCTCGGTAGACTGAGATATGGTCATTTGAATGCAGTACGGTTGATTAGCCGAATAGTTGGAACTAGGTTATATGAATTGGGAATTTGATTAGGTTACACTGACAATTAGACTAAGTGCTCTTCATGAAAATTGTAGGCCTTCGTCTTAGCTTCGAATTGGTATAAGTTGCACTTCAATCTGATAAGCGTAGCCTTAGATGTGCCTATTCCGTAAAAACCCGTCAAATCTGTCTTCTATAAGCTTTGTTTCCGCACTTGATATTAGCTTAATTTTTGTTCTTGTATTGTTTTAAGCCTATGGAATGGCTATTGAACTGACTTTGAGTTATGAATAACTTTGGGTTGGATTGAGTAAGAAAATGAAGCCTAAATGGCTGGAAATTAGGAAAATGCAAAGGGCATGTTGCCCAAATTTACGCTCAAGGACTATAGAAATACACTTGCGACTTGGGTAGAGTTGATATGAATATCACTTGAGCCATCTAGGACTTTGGCTATCTTGGTTCAAGGGTTATACGTTAAAAACCTAGCCGAACTTGTACCCTTGAGGAAAAGACATAATGACCGATGTAAACTCGTTTTCCTTGCACTTTCGACTCACATGTTATTCCAAGTATAATTGCTACAAAACTTACGGTTTGAAAAGCGAGCAAGTGGTTCATGAACGTCTCCCAAATGAATTTCAATTAGTTGATTCTTGTTGAACGAAACGTTTAAGTTTCGAATCTTAGACATGTTTCAAAGTTTTCAAACTGAATTTTTACCGCAGATCTGGACTCCAAACCTGGAGTATAACTGAACGTGAATACTTGAAGCCTTATATTTTGGTGAGTGCTTCCGAATATCCGATTGCACTTGATACATGTGTTTCTTACTTGACTTACATGATTACATGGTGAATGAATGATAGGGCAAAGGTGTACTTTACCGTACTTGCCCTAATATGACTTGTTCTTGTAATTGATTACACTTGACTTGCTATACATGTACATGAGTTATATCCTGCCTGGAATTCCAGAAACCCTGTGGCTAGTTAGTCGAGTCGAGCCGGCAAGGGTCTGGTCGATTAGATAACAAACCCTGGGTAACTAGTAATGGCGAGTGGAGTGTTATCTCCTCGACCAAACGGTATACTCGAGTATTACCACCCGTGTTTCGTGTGGCGTGCGGGCCCGGAGAAGGGGGTTGATCGGTGGACGGAGACTGGCGTGTAGTGGGGTTTTATTTGGACTGGCTATTACTTGAAAGTTGACGGAGTGTCAACTACCAATCAATCGAGCTGGAACGGAGCCAAGACCTGATTTGCTGTATCCTTACATGTGAATGTGAACTTGAAGTTGCTAGACTAGCTAAAATGCTATTTCTCGGATATGACTTGTTTGCTCGCTATTTCACTATTACTCTGCTATCACTTGGTTGTTGGCCAATTTGATATTTAGAACTTCACTGAGTTTTGGCTCACCCCATTAGTTTTGTTTTCCTTACAAGGGTACGAGCGAGGCGTGAGACGTGTAAAGACTAGCGTAGTCTAGTTGTTTGACTTTGACTTTTTGTCTTGTACTCGCGCTATTCCTCGAACAGAATATTTTGTATTTGGATTGTATACGATTTGAACTAGTTTGGGTATTTTGAGACTCTGTACCTTGACTTCTATCAATGTAAATTATAAGCTTGAATTGTGGATGTTATTTATGATTCATGGATGTGTGTACGTGATTCGAGTGAGCGAGTGAGTGAGTCCTGGCGAGAGCTGGGCAGGCGGTCCGCCGAACCCTTTGGTACACCTTAGGAGGAGGTGGGGTCGTCACAGGTGGTATCAGAGCCTAGGTTGTAAATTGATCTAGGCAGATTGAGTGCTTGATATGATAGGCTAGGGTTTTATTCTTGAGCTTAGCCTTTAGCCTTGTTTTCTACGTGATGTGTACTTACTTTTGCCATGTTACTTGTAAACCTAGGTTATGGCGGGTACTGACGCCTCTGGGAGTGCTGGGCCGTCTCAGCCTGTGCCTATTGACGCACCGATTGAGGTACCTACTGACACGCCTACGGATGCTCGTATCGACGAGCCACATTTGGAGGGGCCTGTTTGCCGCGTGATTACATACCAGGAGGGCCCCGGTGGGCCAGTGCAGTGATGGTCCCCAGCGCGCAAGATCCGGCGCTGCGACTGCTGGAAGACCTACTCCTACCCCGATCGGGTAGTGCTCGCTGTGGACGACGAGCGGAAACGATTGGCTAGCGCTAATCGTAGGTGCCAGACGGAGATTGAGCGTCTCCGGGCTACTCTCCGAGATCAGGGGGCTAGGATCCGAGAGCTGGAGGCCTCGGTATTGGAGGAGCAGCAGCGGACGGATGCTTTCCGCGAGCAGGCTCAGGCGACTTCTGGACGCCTTGTGCGAGTGGTTGCAGATATTAGAGACCGGACTGGACACATCCTGACCGAGTGCGAGGCCCTAGTGGACGATGTGCTCCAGGACTTGGCCAGAGGAGGCCAAGCGCCTGTAGTTCCTGGTGCTCCTGGGGAGGATCCTGAGGAGGACCCGGAGGAGGAGCCGAGTGCATCCTCAGAGTCTGTTGGGTCGGCGTCTAGCCGAACGACCTGTTAGAGTTGAGAGGGTTTCTTTTGTGGGATAGTTAGGAACATAGTAGGACGACACGTTCCCTTTTGTTTTTGACTTTGACGTGTCATGGTGGATGTAAATAAGGCTTCTTTTGTTCTATGTTCCTGGGCTAGTATAGCCTCTGACTTGCCTAGGTTGGCATGTATATATATGACTCGTTTGCTATGTATATAAAGTGTTTGTTTATTACGTGTTTATTTGCCTCTATTTATCCGTTTACTACGTGATATATGAGCCATACCTTACCCTGTTTATATGTTTATAGTTGTTCAACTCTCAAAACATGGAGGATAGAAGAAGTCAAACCCGGAGAGCTAACCGAGAACGCGGTCCTAGTCGAGGCCGTGGGGGTGAACAAGCACAGGAACCGGTGCCAGAACCGAGAGAGGAAAGGGAGGCAATGGTTGAGCCACAACCTGAACCCCAGGCTGCAGGGGGAGATCAAGTGGCAACTGCCATCCATCAGATGGCTAACATTCTGGCTCGTTTAGTGGAACAACAGGGGCAAACCCCTGTAAATCAACCTAGGGACCCTGATAATGGGCAAGATAGGGCCTTAGAGAGATTCCATAAGTTCTCTCCACCCAAGTTCTTAGGAGGACCAGACCCGGATGGGGCCGAGAAATGGCTGGAGGCCATGGTTAATATTTTTACTGCCCTAAATTACACAGAGGAGAGGCAAGTCCAATTCGCTGTTTTCCAGTTTGAGGGGCCAGCTAGGGCTTGGTGGAACGTAGTGAGGGCCAAGTGGGAGAGAAAGGCGACTGCATGGACCTGGTTAAACTTCGTACGGGAGTTTAACGAAAAATACCTTCCACCCATCGTTCAGGAGAAGCGAGAGGATGATTTCATTAAACTCCGTCAGGGAATGTTGAGTGTAACTGAGTATGAGACTCAGTTTACAAAGTTGTCCAAATTTGATAGCTACGGAGCAAAGAAAAGTACGGAGGTTTGTGCAAGGGCTAAATGTGGAGTTAGAAGAAGCCTTAGCGGCGACCCACATTAATACATTCACGGAGGTTCTGGAGAAGGCCCTAAGGATAGAGACTGCTAGGGCGCAAGTGAGAAATTTCCATGCTAAGCGGAGAGGGGCATCTATTGGAGCCCAAGGGTCAGTACGAGGTGATCAGAGCATGCCACCTACTAAATCCGGTCGTGGGGCTGGAGGTGGACGGTTTTCGAGCACATCTAGGGGAAGTGCTCCAAGAGGAAGTGCCCAGAGGGGAGGCCAAAGTGGTAGGGGCCAAGGTAGAGGTTTTCCCCAGGGAGGCCAAATCTCCACTCCCCGGGTAACGTGTGGGTATTGTGGGAAACCGAACCACACTAAAAATGAGTGCTGGAGAAAGGCTCGAAAGTGCCTGAGGTACGGAGGTGTGGATCACCAGATAGTCAACTGTCCGCTGATCAGTGACACCCAGTCGACTGCCAGGTCAAATCCAAAACCGACCACCGCTGGAGGGGCCAGGTCGAGGGTACCGGCCAGAGTATATTCGCTGGATCAACCAACCGTGCCTGAACCAACGAAGGTGATAGAAGGCACAATCCCTGTTTTTCACTGGTTAGCCAGAATTTTGATCGACCCTGGTGCTACTCACTCTTTTGTTAATCCTGCATTTATGTTTGGAATTGACTTGAAAGTTGAAAGGTTACCTTATGATTTAGAGGTAAGAACACCTACGGATAATCAAATTTTACTTGCGAATGAGATGTATAGGAATTGTGACATTTGGGTTGGTGAGCGGAAATTGGTAGTTGACCTCATTAGTCTAGCCATTAAGGGTACGATGTTATTCTAGGTATGGATTGGCTAGCTCATTATCATGCTCGAGTAGACTGTAGGATGAAAGTGGTTGAATTTTGTATACCGGGGGAGGCAACTCTAAAGTTAGACGTGAGGGGTATGATAGCCTCTTCTGCACTTATTTCGGGAATAAGGGTTAGGAAATTACTTAGTCGTGGGGTACGCGGCTACTTAGCTTTCCTGATTAACACTCCAGGAGAAAAGATTAAGTTAGAAGACATGCCAGTAATCAGTGAATATCCGGACGTATTTCCGGAGGAGTTGGAGTCTCTGCCACCTGAAAGGGAGATTGAATTTAAAGTTGACCTAGTACCCGGAACTACTCCTATTTCGAAAACCCCTTATCGTATGGCACCTGCTGACCTTAAGGAGTTAAAGGTGCAATTGCAAGACTTGCTAGAACGGGGGTTCATACATGAGAGCGAGTCGCCGTGGGAAGCTCCAGTGTTATTTGTTAAAAAGAAGGACGGAAGTTTAAGGTTATGCATTGACTATCGAGGGCTGAATGCAGTAACTATTAAGAATAAATATCCTTTGCCCCACATCGATGAGTTGTTTGATCAGTTACAAGGGGCTGTAGTGTTTTCTAAGTTGGACCTGCGACAAGGGTACTATCAGTTGAAAATTAGAAAGGAGGATGTGCCAAAAACGGCATTTAACACTCGATATGGGCATTTTGAGTTCGCGGTAATGCCTTTTGGTTTAACTAATGCCCCAGCGGCATTCATGGATCTGATGCATCGAGTGTTCAAACCTTACTTGGATAGATTTGTAGTGGTGTTTATTGATGATATCTTAGTGTATTCGAAGTCAATGGAGGAGCATGAACAATATTTGCGGACAGTGCTGCAAACCCTAAGAGAGCATCAATTGTTCGCTAAGTTCAGTAAGTGTGAATTTTGGTTGGAAAAAGTGGCATTTCTAGGTCACGTAATTTCAAAAGATGGCCTTGCTGTAGACCCGGCGAAAGTGGAAGCTGTGGCCAAATGGAAGCGGCCAGAAAATCCCACAGAGGTGCGAAATTTTCTAGGTCTAGCAGGATACTACCGCCGATTTATAAAGAATTTCTCGAGAATTGCGGGACCCTTGACTAACTTGACCAAGAAACAAGGAAAGTATATTTGGGATATTAAGTGCGAGAGTAGTTTCCAAGAGCTTAAGAAACAATTGACTATGGCTCCAGTTTTAGCTTTGCCCAGTGGGCACGATAGCTATACGGTTTATACCGATGCTTCAAGAGAGGGGTTAGGGTGCGTGTTGATGCAAAATAGGAATGTGATTGCCTACGCATATCGGAAGTTAAAACCTCATTAGCAGAATTATCCGACCCATGACTTGGAGCTTGCAGCTGTAGTGTTCGCTTTGAAAAAATGGCGACATTATCTCTATGGTGTAACTTTCGAGGTTTATACGGATCATAAGAGTCTTAAGTATCTGTTTTCTCAGAAGGAGCTAAATCTAAAACAACGTCGGTGGGTAGAGTTCTTAGAGGATTATGACTGTACAATTAACTACCATCCTGGAAAAGCCAACGTTGTAGCAGATGCTTTAAGCCGAAAGGCTCAACTAGCAAGTTCTATGGTGAGAGAGTGGAGCCTGTTAGAAGAGGTATGTGAGTGGAGATCTCGTTTGGAACCAAAGAAGGTGATTTTTGGAAATATTGAGGTGAAGTCGGCATTGATGGAACGGATCAAAGAGGGCCAAGTGAAGGATCCAATAGTGTAAAAGTGGATGGAAAAGGTGAAAAAAGGAGAGTTACCTAACTTTAACTTAGGCCCTGAGGGAATCTTGAAGTTCCGAAATCATGTCGTTGTACCTAGGGATGAGAAGTTAAAGAGGGAGATTTTGGAGGAATCACACCGCTCTAGGTATACGGTGCACCCAGGGAATAATAAGATGTACCGAGATCTTAAAAGTCTGTATTGGTGGGAGAATATGAAGGCGGAGATTGCCCAGTTTGTGCAAAAGTGTCTTACGTGCCAACAAGTAAAAGCTGAACATCAAAAGCCGTCAGGTCTGTTACAGCCTTAAGAGATCCCTGAATGAAAATGGGAGCACATAACGATGGATTTTGTATCAGGGTTGCCACGAACACAAAAGGGGCATGATGTAATTTGGGTAATAGTAGATCGATTAACTAAGACTGCACATTTGCTACCCGTAAATATGAAATATTCCTTGGAAAAACTTGCTAAACTTTATATGGATGAAGTGGTGAGGCTACACGGGGTATCAGTGAGCATTGTATCTGATAGAGACCCTAGATTTGTATCTCGATTCTGGCAGAAATTGCAAGAGGCTCTAGGAACTAAATTGAGTTATAGCACAGCGTATCACCCAAAAACGGATGGACAATCTGAGAGAACTATTCAAACTCTTAAGGATATGCTGAGAGCCTGTATTGTGGACTTTGGAGGAGGTTGGAGTCAATATTTGACCTTAGTTGAATTCGCATATAACAATAGTTATCATTCCTCTATTCAAATGGCCCCATATGAAGTCTTGTATGGACGACGATGTCGATCCCCAATCCATTGGGATGAAGTAGGAGAGAGAAAAATTATAGATCCGACCACAATACCATGGGTTGAGGAAGCCTATGAAAGGGTAAAGGTGATCCGCCAGAGACTTCAAACAACCCAAAGCCGATAGAAAAGTTATGCCGACCATCGGAGGAAGGATTTGGAGTTTGAGATAGGGGATAAAGTGTTTCTTCGGATTACCCCATTGAAGGGAAATATTAGAGCTGGAAAAGGGAAAAAGTTGCAACCACGATATATAGGACCTTTTAATCAACTTGAGCTACCAGCTAGTTTGTCTAGGATCCATAACGTTTTCCATGTTTCTTTGCTTAAGAAATACCATCCGGATCCGACTCACATTTTGCCACCCGAAGAAGTTGAACTCGACGAGTCCTTAACCTATGAAGAACGACCTATTCAAATATTGGATCGGAAGGTGAAGGACCTGAGAAACAAGCAGATTCCTTTAGTAAAGCTTCTATGGAAGCATCATGAAATGGAAGAAGCAACTTGGGAGCTAGAAAAGGACATGCAAGAAAGATATCCCGACCTGTTCAAGACGAAAGGTATGATTTTCGAGGTCGAAATTCTTTTAAGGGGGAGAGAGTGTGAGGACTCGCAAATTTCTTATATTTTTTTTCTCTCAAAAATGCCTTTTATTTGGAAAGTATTATTTATTAAGCCCTACTACCCCATCGTTCCACAATAAGTGCGGATAAACCTAAAAAGTAGGGTTTCACTCTTCATTTTCAAGATTGGAGCAAAATTAGGGTTTTCGCGATTTTTCGCCGGATGAATTTTCGGTATGGAGTAAGGATCAAATTTGGTGATTAAAAGTGACTTTTAGGTGAGAAATAATATGTGATTAGGGGCAATGATATAAGCTTAGTGAATAGGAAGAAAAAACCCTAGTACATGTGTTTTTAAGAAAAAGCGTGCAAACCGACGGGTACCGTGCACTACCGATTGAACGCACCACTTGACCACCACTTTCTTACCATACAAGCTCATTAATACTTGAGCAAAATATCTTCTCATTTGCCAGCTAGTTTGACCGAAACTTAGGGTTAAAAATAGCAAGGAAAAGAAAGAGAAAAATGAAAGGTGGAGTGTCGCCACCTAAGGGTTTCTTGACCAAGAGATGGTCTTCCTTCTTATCCCCAATTTTTGCTCCTTTTCCTTCATTATTTCTGCTGCTTGGCCGAACAAGAGAGGAGAGAAAGAGAGAGCAAGAAACAACTTCCTTCTTCTTGATTTTAGCCATCCAAGTGAGGAATTAAACTTCTAAACCGATTAAAGTGTTAGTTGTGGGCTTGAGAAGCTAGGGGAAACAAGAATTCCAAGAGGAGGTGAAGTATTACTCTTGAAAGCTTCAATTGTTGAGGTATAAGGCTAAACCATGGCTTTGGTTCTTTTATTGTGGTTTAAGCTGTTGCATCATGCATGATTGTGGTTGGATTAGTAGTGAAACAAGTTGTTATGATGATTTAAAGGTGATATATGTGAGTTAGGGTTGAGGTACTTGCTGCCTATACTTGCTATATGGATGAGATATGTGGTATCTAAGCTTATATAAGTGGTTTTAGTGATGATTAGAGTAAGAAATCAAGAAAGGTTGCATTGAAAACAAAAATTCCAGATTTCTGGAAAAATTTCCCCTCTTTCTGTCCGGTTTTATTGCATCATGTTAGAGGCCGAATTAGCCTTAGGTTAAAACATGAAAGTTGTAGAGAATGGTATTTTATAGTTGCCTACAAAAGTTCAGCTCAATCGGAGTAACGTAGCCAGTGAAGAGACCAAAATACCCTCGCTATTCTAGGTTACATTGCAGAGTTCCGTTTGGACAGTTTAGTCTTTTTGGTTGTGTTTATTTGTTTATCTCAATTCGTATCTTTTGATGATTACAAAACATTTGGATGTTACTAATACTTTCTGTAGAGATACTTTTCAGAAATGACACCAAACAGGTCTGTGGATTCAAAGCAGATAAAAAAGGTCAAAAAGGATGAAGAGTAGTGAGGATGATGTCGGACGCACAAAAAGAGAGTATCGGACGTCCGACATCCTTTGAGCATCTTCGGACGTGTGAAGAACTCAGACTCGGACGTCCGAAGAAGACAAGCCAGGGCTTCTATGATTAACTGATCCTGATCGGACGCTCAACACCTGAGTATCGGACGTCCGACAAGTGTTGCTGGTTTTCGGACGCAACATTCTGAACGCATCGGCCGTCCGAAGGAATTGAAGAAGAAAGTCTCAGTTTACATTCTACCCTCGGACGCACGATCGGACGTCCTAAGGGATTCAAGAAAATTTCCAGAACTCATTAATCTCGTTCGGACGCATGAAAACTAAGCATCGGACGTCCGACAGCACCAACGGCTAGTTGACTCTTCAGTTGCCTTCTACCCGTTGACAGCATTAATTGAAGAATTTTCTTGTCTCCTATAAAATGAACAAAGTCAACCATCTC